GTCTGCTTTAATTGTCATATAAAAGTATGTACTCTAGGAAATTGTTTCTGATACATGATCCATATTGATTAACAGAATCGAGAATCATGCTGAACACGGAGGCACTTTAAATGAGCACCAGCTTAACAGACTGGTGAGACTTCATTTTCTGATTGCAGCATTATTGTGGGGATACTACAAGTTCTTTAAGTTTCTGTCTACTTCTTATTTTTAGTTTGCTAGATTCCTTGAGTAGGGTTTCGCATTACTTTTCATTTCGAGTGCATGATTCCGTCTCTTCGTCTTGGGGCTTTTAGAAAACAACATTCATGTTTGTGACGACATTCATATATTTGCATATGTCATGAACGAGAAGCTTCCATGTTAACCAGCAATGGTAACTCCTTGTGCTGGGGTTCTTGTTTTTTCGGTTTCTAACAGCCAATCTCCTGCCTCTTCCTTTGCGGTTAGAAGGGTTTGTTTATTCCAGTTAGCGATTCCTGATTCTCCAGAAATTCTTTAAATTTGTCTGCATATGCATCTTTTTACCATTTAGAGTTGTTTAGTCACTCACATTGTGTTTCTTTTCCCAAACAGCACGCGATATTGAAGCCATTCATGCTTCGACGGGTAAAAAAGGATGTAGTTTCTGAGCTAACTACAAAGACAGAAGTTACCGTTCACTGCAAGCTCAGTTCTCGACAACAAGCATTTTATCAGGCTATTAAGAACAAAATTTCTCTGGCTGAGCTGTTTGACAGCAACCGTGGACAATTCAATGAGAAGAAAGTATTGAATTTAATGAATATTGTCATTCAACTTAGGAAGGTAAGCTCTCGTCTGGCCAGATTTACTTCCCTGCTTTTCTAACGTCTTGACCTGCTTTCTCATATATTATACAACATGAAGGTGTATTTAACTCCCAAACAACATACATGAGAAGACTTCCAGCGTTTCTGGTGTCAGGATTGACAAGACTATGGCTTATGCTAGTTCATGTTTGTGTTTCTGATGTCAGGTTTGTAACCATCCAGAGTTGTTCGAGAGAAATGAAGGGAGCTCGTATCTCTACTTTGGAGTGATTTCCAATTCTCTTTTACCTCATCCCTTTGGTGAGCTAGAGGATGTGCATTATTCTGGTGGTCAAAATCCAATTATGTACAAGGTGCAATTTCAATATCTAAAAAAAAAAAAATTCAAGTAGAGAAGATCTTCTAGTCTTTCACTGAATCCTGCCTTTGGGTTCAATATTCTCTTTCTCTTTCAGATACCTAAACTACTACACCAAGAGGTGCTCCAAAATTCTGAAACATTTTGTTCTTCCGTCGGGCGTGGCATATCCAGAGAATCCTTTCTGAAGCATTTTAATATATATTCACCGGAGTATATTTTTAGGTCAATATTCCCATCTGATAGTGTGGTCAGTGGAAGTGGAGCGTTTGACTTTTCTCGCTTGATGGATCTATCACCATCAGAAGTTGGATATCTTGCTCTGTGTTCTGTTGCAGAAAGGCTTTTATATTCTATGCTGAGATGGGAGCGGCAGTTTTTGGATGAGTTAGAGAACTCTCTAATGGAATCCAAGGATAATGATCTTAGTGACAATAACATGGAGAGAGTTAAAACCAAAGCTTTCACAAGAATGTTGCTGCTGCCATCAAAAGTTGAAACGAATTTCCAGAAAAGGAGACTAAGCACAGGGCCCACCCGTCCTTCATTTGAAGCGCTAGTGACCTCTCATCAGGATAGGCTTCTTTCAAATATCAAACTACTACATTCTGCATATACTTATATCCCAAAAGCCAGAGCTCCACCGGTATGATTCTTTAAAATGTTAAGTTGCTGACTAATAACCTGGGTAGTTCCTTACCAAGTCTTCTCAACCATGCTTTATTTGAACTTGCATGTGTCAGGTAAGCATTCATTGCTCGGACAGAAATTCTGCGTACAGAGTTACAGAAGAATTACATCAACCATGGCTTAAGAGACTATTAATCGGTTTTGCACGAACGTCAGAAGCTAATGGACCCAGGAAGCCTGACAGCGTTCCACATCCTTTAATCCAAGAAATTGATTCAGAACTTCCAGTTGTGCAGCCTGCGCTTCAACTGACACACAGAATATTTGGTTCTTGCCCTCCAATGCAAAGTTTTGACCCAGCAAAGTTGCTTACGGTAGTTTCTTTTCTGTTGCAACTTCCTTTTACATTTAGTGGCTTTAATATGAGCTCTTTTTCTAATCAAAAAATTGGATCGTAGGACTCTGGGAAGCTACAGACCCTTGATATATTATTGAAGCGACTTCGAGCTGGAAATCACAGGGTGCTTTTGTTTGCACAAATGACAAAGATGCTAAACATTCTTGAGGTAATATCTAGACACAAGCCTTTGACGTAACTCTACAATTTGTGCTTTATGTATAACAAGCATTGATTACTACACCATTGCTTTACATTTTTGATCTGACGTTTATGCAGGATTACATGAACTATAGAAAGTACAAGTACCTCAGGCTTGATGGATCTTCCACCATTATGGATCGCCGAGATATGGTTAGGGATTTTCAGCGTAGGTAGGATTTAACTTTCTCAAGCCTTTCTTTTGATGTTCCCATGAGGCTTTCTGTTCACAAGTGTAAACCATGCATGGTTGCAGGAGCGACATTTTTGTATTCTTGCTGAGTACCAGAGCTGGAGGACTTGGTATCAACTTGACGGCTGCAGACACTGTCATTTTCTATGAAAGTGATTGGAATCCCACCTTGGATTTACAAGCTATGGACAGAGCTCACCGTCTTGGTCAGACAAAAGATGTTAGTGATTATTCTCTGCTTTTATTCTTCCAATCTCATACATTCCCAATGGAATTATTTTCTGTGTCGCCTGATCTCTTTTTCTTATTTGAAAACCTCTTACAGGTTACTGTATATCGGCTCATATGCAAGGAGACAGTGGAAGAGAAAATTTTGCACAGGGCAAGTCAGAAAAATACAGTTCAACAGCTTGTTATGACAGGAGGTCATGTTCAGGGTGAAGATGTTTTTGGAACTGCGGATGTGGTATCGCTGCTAATGGATGATGCCGAGGCAGCACAGTTGGAGCAGAAATTCAGAAACCTACCATTACAGGTGGGGGACAACATTATTATTACATAGAATATTTCAGGAAATCTAGAATTCTGTCACTCATAACTTGATTACGCCTTCCAGGTAAAGGACAGGCAGAAGAAAAAAACTAAATGTATCAGAATAGATGCTGAAGGAGATGCGACTTTGGAAGAGTTAGAAGATGCTGAACGACATGAGAACGGACAGGAACCTTCTGAAGAGCCGGAAAAGACAAAATCCACTAATAAAAAGGTATATATATGCTACCAACTCACTCATTCTTTCGCCTTCCTTATTATCAAATCCCTATCCATCTCGCTAGGTTTATGCACTATGCAAGGCCTAGTTGCAAAGGAAACATGAGTTGGTCTGCTGACGGAGCTTGTCTTGGTACTAACTTGATAATTTTTGGATAAGTATGTAATATTAAAAGCATGTATGTGCGGTGATTTGCAGAGGAAAGCTGCTTCAACTCCGAAATCTAGAGTATCCCAGAAAGCAAAGGAAGAAGCGAATGGTGCCGATACTCCTCAGAGGACACAAAGGGTAAAGAGACAAACAAAGAGCATAAACGAGAGTCTTGAACCTGTCTTCCCTGCCCCTGGCACAGAAACAAATAGAGGATTCGATCCAAGTAGTTGAGCTAAGTAATGTGAAGATGATTGAAGCTTCCAGACATATGTTAACTTGAGGCAGGTTTAGCAAATGGTTCCTAGTTTTTGAGCCAAGTGTACAGATTTGAAACATTTAATTCAAGTTTTTTACTCTTTTTAACGTACACCAGTCTTAAGTAGGAGAACATAATGGTACATATATGTATAAATGGATTTAACCATAGTCGCTACGCTAATCATTCATCACCAGCTTATTTAGTGGACGTTAAATTTTTTAGTATGATGTGAAGAAACTTTAACAGTCATTGTGATTTTTAATGTCGTTCGTTCTCTGTGATTTTATCTTTTATTGATTGACACAGATTTAATTTATAATCGTCCAGATTCTTCGAAATCAACAAAAGTCTTGTAACAAACTCGTTTGATCAAGCGAATGTACTCGAGCGTGATCATTTATTTTACTAGCTCCGTCAACTACAAAATATACCATCACGCATACTGCATACATAATCCTTAAGGATGATAATACGACAAGTCCAGTATGTTAACAATTGTCCGTCACATTGGCTCTTTTGAGCTGATCGTTTGATTTATTTGATGACAAAAAAATAATAATAATAATAATAATACGATTACGCATACTGCATACATACATACATTTTCAATGGTGTTAGACAATATTTTCACTAATGAACACATAAGTAGAAATGAACTGAAAATATTGAATTATTTACAAACTAAACATTGAATCAGCAAGACCAAACGATTAATTAATGTTGTTTTTGGTATATGATTCATGCAGCTCCAATGGTCAACGATTCAACATGCAAATCCGTGTTTGTGGACTTTTGGACACCATGCATGGTGTTCGTGTGGACGACCCTTCAAAATGATTGATTCGAACTGGCAGCAGAACAGTAAGCAGAGAAGCCCAAATCTGCTGAAAAGCCCACTAAAACTGTAAGAGCTGGGCAAAATAAGACACACAAATGTGTATTAAACAAAAACCCAAACCTGCTAAAAAGCCCACTAAAACTTTCAGCCCATTACAGAGAGAGAGAGGAAGGAGGCGCTCTACTCCTCCGCTTTGACCTATTTCTAACCGTTGCCACTTAATACGAAAACTAAAAATATCTAGCAAATAAAGAAATACCAGATATTTTCCACGTGGACGGCACAGATCAAATAACCCGCGCGATGAGACAACCGTTAGATGAGCAAAACCTGAAAGGACCTTTGTGCCCCAAACCAGAATCAAATTGATTATAAATACATGTCCTAAAACCCTAAGCTTACAAAATATCTTCACGCAGCTGTCTAGGGTTTTTCGCCTCTCTCTTTACTCTCTCTCGAAAACCTAGCAGTCTTCTTCTTTCTCTTTTCTCAGTTCCTCCATGGGTAAACCTAAATCCGCCACCAAGGTAATCTTCTTCTCCCATGTTATGGCTTTTCTTGTCTCTTCTTCTTATTACTCTGCTTTCAATCTCTGTTCATGTTGACGAGCTTCTGTTTGTTTTTTTTTGCATTGTCAGGTTGTTACAGCTCCTGCTGCCGTTAAGGCCAGTAAGCCTTTGAAGAAAGGTATGTACTTTGGCTCCTTTTGCCTCAGATGCTTTGCCCTTTGATACTCAACGAGTTTTGTTTTGAAAGTTTGTATTTTTATCTCGATGTTGCTCGTTCTGCTATGGCTATTGGAATATGATGTTTATTTGTTTAACTAGTGATCGTATAAGAGATCTTTATCCATTAGTTTGGGAATATGTATTGGTAGCATTCAATAAGCGTGAGTTTGCTTATTCTCTGTAGTATATTGACTTGTTAAACTTGAATTTGATACCTTCAGTGTTGAGATTAAATATGAAACCTTTATTGTTGAGATTGAACTTTAATTGATTATAATTTTGTTTGCCGCTTCTGTTTAGGCAAGAGAGAGCCTGAGGATGATGTTGACACCAAAGTGAGCCTTAAGAAGCAGAAGAAAGACGTGATTGCTGCTGTTAAGAAGGAAAAGTCTGAGAAGAAGGTGCCTAAGAAGGTTGAGAGCTCTGACTCCTCTGATTCTGAATCTGAGGAAGAGGAGAAGGTATAACTTAATTCTGTCTTGATTTTTTTTTTTTTTTGGTTTGAGCAGTTAAGTTGAGTGTGATTTCTGATTACTTGTGATATTTGTCAGGCTAAGAAGGTTCCAGCCAAGAAAGCTGCTGCCAAGGCAGCTTCTAGCAGTGATGAATCATCTGACGACTCTTCTTCAGATGATGAGCCAGCAACCAAGAAGGCTGCTGCCACTAACGGAGTTGCAAAGAAGTCTAAAGATGACTCATCTTCTGATGATGAATCTTCAGAGGAGGTTAATTTCTTTCTCTGTTATGGAGTTTTAAGCCTTCTATTATATGAGCTTGCGCTAAAAGACTTGGCTGATTTGAAAAATTGCAGGAAGTTGCTGCAACAAAGAAGCCTGCTATAGTTGCTGTGAAGGCCAAGGCAGAGAGTTCATCTGATGATGATTCATCTTCTGATGAAGTAAGCACCTCATAAGATGATTCAGCTAGTTTAATTTCTGGGAAACATGTGTAATTAACTATTTTACTAATTGAAAATAACTAGGAATCTGCAAAGAAACCTGCTGCTAAGAGTGCCAAGCCAGCCGCTAAAGATTCTTCATCATCTGAAGAAGACTCAGATGAGGAGTCTGAGGATGAGGTGATAAATTTATCTATATGTAGTGTGTTTGTACTTGATCTTAAGCTAGTTTTTGTATTTTTAAAAATATTTTGCATTTTCAAATGGGTCTCTAACTCTTTCGTTTATGAAAATAGAAACCTGCTGCCAAGAAAGCAGCTCCTGCTGCTGCCAAGAAGGCTGAAAGCAGCTCAGGTTCATCAGATGAAGATTCTGACAAGGTTGGCTAACATATTTGGTTTGTTTATTCTACTTTTGAAGCAACTTTGGATTTTCTATTTCTCAGTCTTTGACTTCATCCATTGTATTGATATTTGCAGGAAAGTGAAGATGAGTCTAGCGAATCTGAGGAAGATGAAAGTGAAGATGAGAAAGAAACCCCAGCGAAAAAGAGCTCCGATGTAGAAATGGTTGATGCATCAAGTGCAAAGCAGGTGAGAATCCTTTTGGTAGCATCTAGTATATATTGTAATATTGTAACCTCTTTTTGTTTTGTTATGTCGAAGTTAATTTTGTGTATCATTCAATTCTTTTACTTTCAGCCAAAGACACCATCCACTCCTGCTGCGGGAGGATCAAAGACACTCTTTGCTGCCAATCTCTCTTTCAATATTGAAAGATCTGATGTGTAAGTACCAACCTTTGATCTTCTCTCGTCTTGTTGAAAGTTTTACATTACCTGATATCTTATCCTCAATGTGCAGCGAGAATTTCTTCAAAGAAGTTGGTGAAGTTGTTGATGTTAGATTTTCTACCAATAGAGAAGATGGTAGTTTCAGGGGATTTGGCCATGTTGAGTTTGCTTCTGCGGAGGATGCACAGAAGGTAAATGTCCCTTTCTGATCTTGAGTACAAAATATATATAGTAAATTTGATATTATGATTGCTGATCAAAGTCTGTTGTACTTTAGGCATTGGAGTTACATGGTAGACCTTTACTCGGCCGTGAGATTCGTCTTGATGTTGCACAAGAGAGAGGCGAGAGACCTGCATTCACTCCACAAAGCGGGTGGGTTACTTTTCCATGTGTTGGAGATTTTTTTCTGTAAAATTGTTCATTTGTTGATTGTATTCTCTTCTGCAAATTATTGCAGTAACTTCAAAAGTGGTGGTGGCGGTGGTGGTGATGGTCAAACTGTTTTTGTTAAGGGATTTGACTCTTCACAGTCTGAGGAAGATATCAAGCAGGCATTGAGGGAACATTTTGCTTCATGTGGTGAGATCACAAGGGTTTCTGTCCCCACAGACCGTGAAACTGGTGCTTCCAAAGGGTTTGTGATTCTTTCCCATGTGTGTGACCAATTTGTGAATTCTATCTTTTAGAAGTGAAATGCTAACTACATCTATGTTTCTTTTCACTTTTCAGAATTGCTTACGTTGATTTTTCAGAAGGCAAAGAGAAGGCTTTAGAACTAAATGGAAGTGACATGGGAGGATGGGGTCTTGTAGTTGATGAGCCTAGACCAAGAGATAACAGTGGTGGTGGATTTGGTAGTGGTGGAAGGAGTGGATTTGGTGGAAGGAGCAATGGCAGAGGAAGAGATGGTGGTCGTGGTCGTTTTGGTAACAGTGGTGGCAGAGGAAGAGATGGTGGTCGTGGTCGTTTTGGTAACAGTGGTGGCAGAGGAAGAGATGGTGGTCGTGGAAGACCTAGTTTTACTCCCTCAGGTACATAAATCTGATCTCAATTCATATTTTTTTTTTTTTTTTGGTAAACCGTCATTCATTAATTCTTTGTTTTATATATTGTAGGTAAGAAGACTACCTTCGGTGATTTCGAGTAGAAGCTTCTGTAGAAGAAAAGGCTCTTCTTAGGCCATCTCCACTGGCAATCTTTATACAGGTACTAATTGATTTTGTCTCCACTGGCAATCTTTATACAGGTACTAATTGATTTTGTAAAGCAAAAATAAAATAAAAAACTAAAAAAGGGCCCACAATTAAAAGAATCGATACTTCTATAGGCAATTGAAGAATCGATCCTCTTTTCTCTATTTGTAACATAAGTACCCTATACAGCTATTCTATTATTTTCATTTAATTTTATAATTAATTTAATCATAAACATTTTTTTTGTAGGTTACTCGAGTGGTGATGCTCTTATGTTGTTAACTTGTGATACTTCGCATCCTTTTATCGTTTTGTTTCTTTTTTGTTCTAGTTTCTTTTCTGTCAGAACCTTAAATTTTTGTCTGAATGTTAAATTAAGCTCAATTTTGAGTGTTTTGGGTGTTAAATCTAATTACTATCTTCGTCCTTCATCATATATATTTTTCCTAAGTATTAGCCTCATACCATTCAATTGACGAGGTTGGCTAAAATACTCTCTCCAAGGGACACAAATTTACATTTCTCAGTTTTAGTCTCAACTTGGTTGGCTACTTTCCATCATTCACTCAAAAGCATAAACAAAAAGAAATAGGAAAACGAGAAGAAGAGGATTAGTTGTAACTCAAAACCAAGACTTTAGCTTGAGGACCTCCTTGTACATAGACGAAATCATAAGCTTGTCCTGCTCTCAAAGTCTTTTGCCATTGAGGAAGCTGGTAAGTATTCTTTTGTCCCGTTGGGTTTACACCCCAGATAGGTCCTGAGAGATCTTCAATCTTAAGTTTGAGATCTGATATGGGCTTCAGAGAATTGTTCTTGATGATCACTTTGTGCCTGTAGTATCTTGTGTTCCCGGCCATCCAGTTGGTAGTTATTGAGTGAAGAAACTCGATTTGTGCACCTGATTGTTTTGGACTATATGTTGTTGCTGTTGCTTTGTACGATGAAGCTGTGACAGTTCCAAAGAAAGTGAGAATCAGACACTATTGAGAAAAAGTTACAAAAGCTGTAAGTGAAAAAAAGATCAAACCTGGTGGCTTTGTAGTTTGATAAGGTTTATATGATCCTCCTCCATAAGATCCTGCAAAACAATTCATTACATTACTGTATGAGTCATGGATCATGAGAGAAGAGAGCTAAAAGCTTAGATATTCAGGTTTACTGTTTAGTTACCTAAGTTTCCAGAGAGTTTAGCGAATAGGCCAACGAGTGGAGCTGTTCCAGACAAAGTTGGTTCCGATTGCTCGTAGTTTGAGCGGTCATCAGAATAGTAATCATTCTGGTCTGGTCCACCAACAAGAGCACCATAGATAACATTAGGATCAGCTTGAGACCTTCTGTACCAAGAATCAAATCCTTGAACACATTTCACAGAAGAACGTTGAGCAAAAATTGAAGGGATTGAAGAGCCTCTATGGTGAACGCGGATTGGGTATTTCGGTCCATATCCAACTACATAACTCATTCCTTGACGGTTCTTTCCAAGAATGTAATCAGCCTGCAAATGAAAGAACTCAGTTTGCGGAGTTTAACCAACAAGGAAATTGTTTTGGTTTCTTTGGAGGATTTAGTAGTGACCTGAGATCTAGCAAAGTCAAGAAGCGCCTGAGGTTGAACCGAACCATCGGGACAATTGAGTTTAGCATTTGCTGCAGAGAGATAATCTGAATAGACCGCGAGAAGATACGCAGCCGCAGATGCATATTGCAGATTGTTCCACTCTCGAACATACATTAAACCACCAGCAGTTGTTTGGATGTTGTAGCCACCATTCTTCTTGAGACAAGCACAAGCGAAATAGTCAGCTTTCATCTGATACTGCTTCAACGTCGAAGTATACGCACCGCCTTTCCCTTCTAACAAGACCTATAAACACACAAATGAAACAAGAAACAAGATTAATATTCTTGAAACCGCGGGAAAACATTCTTGAACTAACCGGAAAATAAATAGTTATATACCTTGGAGAGAAGGATTTGAACACCGGCATATTTGTTATCCCAAGAGAACTCTTTCATCCCCCATCCGGTTCCTCCCATGTAACCGGCATTGTCCATAGCATATTTCAAGTAATACTGATCCCCGGTGGCACGGTGTAGCCAAGCCGCAGCCCAAAGAAGCTCATCCTTTACAAAATTACCCAACCGAGACATTTTAGTTTTGGAACAACATTCAATGGAAGAATGAATGAAGGAAAATATTAAGAGATCAAAGGGTTATACCGAGTAACCAGATGACATGTAGAAAGCTTTTGCATTTGGGATTGAATCAGTGTAAAGTCCTCTGTACTTGTCAGCAAATGAGAAGAGCTGAAAACACACAATAACAAAAGTTTCAAAATGTCATTATCTAAACAGAACCGGATTCATAAACCAACTGAACAGATCACAAACGAACCTCTTTGGCATGACTCAAGAGGAGAGCAGAGTAAGAGGAGTTAAATGGCTTGAACGCCAAGGAAGCAGCGGCTAAAGCAGCAGCGGTTTCACCGGCTAAGTCTGAGCCAGGATGGTACTGGTCAAGCTTATAAGCTGTTCTTGAAGTGGTCATGTCCTCAGCTCGTTCCCAACAATAGTGGTCTGATTCTCCATCTCCAACTTGACCCCATAGAACATTTGGCTGAGGATGAGCCTTGATGAAGTAATCAGTACCCCATCTGATTGACCACAATGTCTGTTGCATCTGGTTCGAAGCGGATAGCTCTTTCCGGTGATCAACCGCGGCCCACGATAGCATTGTCACCGCAAAGGCCATTGGTAAACCGAATTTCACATGGTCTCCTGCATCATAGTATCCTCCTTCCAAGCTCACCTATTCATTCAAACATACACAAACCTCAATACCATTTTATAACATGATATATTTTCTTACAAAATCGATCAAATCTTGTCTTGATGATAACATAATTTGGTATTTTACATCTTTAATATCTTTATATAAGTATTCTTACAAATTTTGTGTGCGTAAGTGCAAATTTTTCCAATAATACAATCTGTTCAATTCTGATGGTGGTGACACATGACAAGCCACTATATATATGTCCTAGTCAAATTCGATGATATATTATCTGACGACAACTGAATTAAGTTTGACTATAACATTAGTTAAATTATGTGAGTGTAAAATGGACTTACGCCTTGAGCAAGACCATCCTTGAGACCAGAGTGGCTACGCCATTTAACACGTTGAGCAGCAGGCAACTTTCCTGATCGCTGAGCCTCAAAAAACAAGAAGGTCTTGTCAAGAGCATTTCCGTAGTTATAGTACTCCGCTGCGGCGGTTGCTGCTGCTAGAAGAACGGTCAGCAATAGGCTTACGCCGAACAATGATCCACCAAACTTGCTCATTTCCTCTCTATCAATCTTAGTTTTAAGTTTCCTCTCCTAATTAAGAAACGTTCAGAGCTGTGAATCTGTGATAAGAGTTTAGTCTATATGTGGGTGTATTTATATAAACATATTGAGAAAAGGGAGAGATAGAGAGAGAGAGAGAGATTGTGTATGTGAGTTTGGTGAGAGGGAGGAATGTAGAAGAGAATCAAATAGGTACGAAACTTTGTCTGAACAATCATTGTCTTTTGTCTCTATTTTGTTGTGTTCGTGTGTGTTTTGCCTCTTTGATAATAGTTGTGACCTTCACGTTTTGTTAGAGCTTCTCACGTTGTACCTCAAGACTTTTGTGTACACACAAAAAAGCTGAAACCAACTATGCGACTCACCACGTGTATCTCTTATTGGCCGTTGGATGAACGTGATATTGACCATCTATTCGAATAGAAATAGATTAATGTATCTCTTAATTTTTAATATATAGTTTAAAACGCTTAAGAATAATATTTTGGTTGATTTTTGTTAAGGTGTCAACGGACAAGTTATCTCCCATTCGTGGTATCCACAACTTGCAATTCCTTGTTTTTGTTTTGTCTTTCAACTCATTTGTATGTTCGGATGTTTTTTTTTTGTCTTACAAAACAAAAATTATACAGTTTCATGAGTCATGAACCATGATGCATAGTGTATCTTCAAAAACTCTTTGTAATAGCGAGTGTAAAAATATTCCTTAATTTTACATAATATTTTGAAAATTGAAAGTTGTGTCTATGATTAAGAGAAGGTGAAACGTTTGTATTTCAATAGAAACCTAGAATCAATGAATCATAATATAATTGATACGAACAGTTTTAAATAAGACAAGACTTCATTTATTATTATCCTAATTTCCGATAAGAATGTAAATAACATTTTAAGAAATGCAAGTTTAGGATGTCAATCCTAATTATTTCAAAGCTGTGAATTAACCAAAAGACAAATGGAATTGAAAAAAAAAAAAAAGTAAAAATCCTAAACCGGACTAAAACTCCACGGTTGAACCGCCATAACCGAGCCTTAATGGTTCTTCTTCCAATACTCTAAAACCAATTACTACTAAACAACACTAAGAACCGTCAAAACGAGAATCGAAATTGTAACTAAACCGGCACTAATCGTTTTTCTCACTGAGCTGTTACTCTTCTTGTGAGTTGAAGAAGCGGCTAGGGACGAAGAAGGCGGAGGAGACTGCGGCGTAGGTTCAACCTCCATGACTTTTATTATCATTTTCTGACCCTTCTCACAGTGCCCTGCGACGCCGCTTATGAAATAAAACAAACCGGGTCGGTCCAATTTGAAAACCGTATCGTCGTGGTTCGAGTAAAGTTCCGGTTTGGTCGTTTTGCATTTCTTGTACTCTTCTTCTGATACCACCAAAACCGAGTCTTTCTTGTACTTGAAACCTTTATATATATATATACACACCAAATCAAAAACTTCAAAATCTGATCATTGATAAGTTATAGAAGAAAGAAGGAATAAAAAAAGATAAATCTTACGGATAGTGTCGCCAACTTTAAACCGGTTCTTGGAAGCCCAATGGTTAAACATATCAGTCTGGTTACTAGATTGTGGTATGATCCAACCATTTTCTCCACCAGCTTCAAATTCAGTACATGACACAAGTGAAAACACGTAAAAGAGTACTAAGATCGAAATGAGAACAATCTTTTGTGCACCCATTTTTTTCTTTCTTTTTGATAGTTCTCTTTGTATCTGCTTTTGTTGATGCTTAAGGTTTGAATTTAAACTAGTGCGTGTGAGAGAGTTGCAGCTAGGTTTGTTAGTTTGGCTTTGTCCACAACTTGAGGGATATCTATTAGATATTGTTTTGACTTATTATTTGCTAATTTGAAATCTTAATTAAAATTTTCGAGGATATAACGACTAGTTGAGAAAAAAAATCTGTTTTTTTTTGTGTGTGTGAGGATTTTGCGTATTAATTCGGAATCAATATTGTAATTTTAAATAATTCGATGATTGTTTTTGTGTTTTTTGGATTTTTGATACGAATTTACAATGTTTGGGTGATAATTAGATGAAGTAATAATTATAGGGACTATTATTGAAAATAGTTAAAATACTTGAGAATATTTGGATTTGCCGATACGACGCGAGGTCCCGTCGTTTTGGAGTTGTTCCGACACCGCCATCTAAAACACTCACTCGTTCGTTCACCTGAGCCGCGACGAAGAAGAAGGAGTCGAATCTGACTGTAAGGATTTAGGGTTTATAGGATTGTAGGAAGACGAAGAGCAAGAAGAATCAGCGTTTTTTCTTGAAGATAAACAATGGCGCAAGACTCGGAGAAGAGATTTCACCAAATCATGGACAAGCTCTTCACTCCTTCGAAATCTCAGCCTTCATCTTCCTCAACCAGGTTAGTTTCTTATTTCATGGATCCATTCATCTTCCACTAGCTAAGTTTCAATTTCCAGAATCGTTACTCGTTTCGTTATTTGCTCTGATTAGAGTCGTGGAGATTAGGTGATTTTTGTGTTCATGTTATGATTCTGAATCAGCTTATGTATTTGATATATCGTTTTGGGTTCAGTAGTTCATCTGTAGAGCAACAATCAAGAGGCAAGAAGCGTCCAAATCCTTCGTCTGCGTTAGCACTGGTTGAGCCAAAGAGGGTATTAGCTACCATTGATAGGTCTTCAGCTTTTAAAGTCCCTGCCGGTTCATCACCGTCTGGTCTTTGCAGGCCGTGGGATAGAGGAGATCTTATGAGGAGGCTTGCTACTTTTAAGTCCATGACATGGTTTGCCAAACCCCAGGTTTGCTTCTTCTGACCTTTCTACTACCAATTTTTATCTGGTGGTTGCTATGAAAATTCTTACCTGATTCTTGTTATTTTTGGTGTGGCGGTAGTGTATTAGTGCGGTAAATTGCGCGAGGAGAGGGTGGGTGAATGATGATGCAGATTCTATAGCTTGTGAATCTTGTGGAGCTCATCTTTATTTTTCAGCGCCAGCTTCTTGGTCAAAGCAACAAGGTATTGTTAACATTTCTTGTTTGTTTTGTTTGTAGAATCATCTTTATAACTAGTACACTGTAATGGTTTTGGGTTGTATCCTCTCTGACTTTGGATATCTTCTCTGTGGTCTTCCAGTGGAGAGAGCGGCATTAGTCTTCAGCTTAAAGCTGGATAATGGACACAAATTACTTTGTCCGTGGATAGAGAATTCATGCGAAGAAACACTTTCTGAGTTTCCTGCTATGACACCGCAGGATTTAGTCGATCGACATGAAGAACGGTCAGAAGCTTTGCTTCAACTGTTGGCCCTGCCTATTATTTCGCCATCAGCCATTGATTACATGAGGAGCTCTGATCTGGAAGAATTTCTCAAACAACCTATTGCACCTGCATCTGGTGACACAGCACCAGAAAGTTCTCAAACAGATTCCCTTATCAATCATGTTGGAGCGAGTCCGGCTCAACTTTTCTACCAGGTTTGACCTATACCTAAAAATCTGAAATTTTTCTAGCTAACGTAGAACCCTTTGCAATGCTATTATTGTTTCAGCCTTTGGCATTACATTACCATGTCCATGTTTTTTGTTTTAGACTTTTAGGTACTTGTATGATTTTAGTAGAGTAGGATGCTCCTTCGTTTATTGTGCCTCTATCAATAGACTTTACTGTAGCCTGTCCAAATTATTATTCTTGATTCATTGATGCTGTTCATATGATATAATATTTGCTTACAGTCAATATATGATCACTTATGGCATATTTTCTGAGAGGCTTTTGGTATAATTTTGAGTCATATCTGATACTTTGATATCTTTGCAGGCACAAAAACTTATCAGTTTATGTGGCTGGGAACCACGGGCACTTCCTTATATTGTGGACTGCAAAGATAAATCGACTGAGACTGCTAGGGGTACAGATACTATTGATTTACTGCCAGAAACTGCTACCCGCGAGCTTCTAAGAATCTCTGATTCAACCTTGATTCCAACTGAAATATCAGGGAATAATGAGAACCCAACCCTTCCTGACACATTAAACTCTGATCCTAGTTCTGTTGTACTGGACTGCAAGCTCTGTGGAGCCTGTGTTGGTCTATGGGTTTTCTCAACTGTTACAAGACCACTTGAATTGTGTAGAGTAACTGGTGATACGGAAATTAGTACAGAGAAACATCCTGGGGGTGGTACACTTCAAAAGCAACCTTCAAGCTTAAAGTTTACTATAGCAGGAGGACCCCCAGCAACAAAACAAAACTTCAAAGCAACAATATCGCTGCCTATTATCGGAAGGAACTTGAGGTCAAGATTTGCTTCTTACTCCAGAGATCATGATCATGGGGATGTCAGTTCTATTCAGGATCAACAGAGTAAAATTGCAGAGAAAAATGGTGGTGTTACACAAGATAGTGATCAAGCAATGAATGATATAGGAGATAAGGCTGATGGAGGAAAAAACTCAACTGATATAGAGAGTGATATTGCAGTACAAAACAAAGGCAAACAAATGATGGTAGAAACATCAACTCTTTCAGAAAAATACAAACCCAAGGATTCAACTGCAGGTAAATTGCCAAGAGTGTCAATGCAGACACAAATTTCTTAGATTTTTAAAACCGTTAATTCAGAGAATGTTCAGCTAAATTATACTGAAATACAATTTTCAATGTGAAGATGCAGGAAAATCAGCAATGGCAAACAAACAGATGGAATTTGATCCAATCAAGCAACATAGACATTTCTGTCCTTGGATCTGGTCAACGGGTAGAAGAGGCCCTGGATGGCGACAGACTCTGTCTGCGTTACAACGCCATAAAGGATCTTGTCAGACTCCACCATCACCCTCTTCCCTCTTCAAGGTAACACATTCCACTACATTCGTTTGGATATATTCTTTAGGGAAATTGACTAGTTTTTAGTGTTAGAATGGAAAAAGCTAATTACAGATAGGTAGATATAGCTGAACCGTGACCATTCCCATGTTTCTATCGAAATGAGATCATAGAAACTCCTTTTTAAGCAACAAATAGAAAGATCGAACAATAACCTAGAAGTATGAAGCTATAAACATATCTTGGTTGAGAGTGCAACTTATGTCCTTGTTAGAACTCCATTGTGTACGACTTTTTGTTGATTTATCCTTTACAATTTGTTTGGCTCAAAATTTGCTTTGACCATGAGATCTGGCCTTAAAAGATTAATCGTATATTTAAAAGAGAAGATCAATTTCGGATATGTCGTTGATGGTTCCTTTATTTGTGTGATGTTGTCAGGTAGATGATCCGTTAACATCTGTCAGAAACCTTTTCAAGTCGCCATCCCCTAAAAAGCGAAGATTAAATGGAGGATCGTCAAGCTGAGAGACCAGACAGTTTTGTTCCTGAAAAAATCTTGATCCCTTTTGGTCTACACTGCATCCGAAATTTTTTGAAACTTGAAAATAACATTCATGTGTTCTGAGTTATTTGTTGACTTCTCAAATGAGTAATCTATGTTGATACACATATTAGTTCGTACCGATTAAACCATAGCACAACGTTAAAAGTCATGGTTAAGTTTATAGCTTAATTGGTCAATGGTCATCTATGAACTGAATTGAAATGTCTCCTGAGAGAGTTAAAGGTAAAGAAATTTGTTGACAGAGAGCGCATGAGGCCTTTAAACATTACCCAAAACAATTCCTCCATCTCATAATGTATGACGTGACTGACATCAATTAAAAATCCTGTTATCTCCTTTTTGTTCATTATATATTTTCATGACTTTTATGATATAATATCTCCAAAAAAGATAATGCATAAGTTATTGATTATTGCAACTAGAAGAAATAAACTCTTTTGTGTGCGGATGTTTCCTGAATTAGGGATAGAAAAGACAAGCACAAGTCGATCCCATAGATACAACCAAACCATTTCCTCTCGTCATTGTCCCACTATCTTTTTTCCTTAACATACCTTTTCTCATAAAAAAAAACTAAATAATTCGTAATTGCATGAATACTTTTCTATTTATATAACAAAATAATTTATGTGGACCATCTCCGGATTCATGGCTTATGTTCAAATCAACACATTTGTGGTTCTTAAAAGTTGTTTCATATTTTTAGATTTTTTAATACTTTTTATACAGTATATATATTTGTTTTATAGGTTCTCAAGTTTAAGATTCGTATTTATTACACAGTTAAGAGTATGTTTTTAGGGTAAGAAGAAGAAAAAACACATGTGGAAGTCATATGCTTCTCTGTCAGCTGCTGACGTGGACTTTCGTGCGTTACCTTTTTTAAAGTTTACCGAGTCTATTCATTTGACACGTGGTTGGATCGTAGCGCGTTGTTCATATTATACTCTTAAAACAATTAGTTTTTTTACCCTTTTGTTTTGTTGAAATTGTTTACAGTTCCACTAAGTTTTGATTATTGCTATTTTAACCCTGTAATAATACTATTGTGTTCTCTCAATTTCGTGTAAACTGAATTTTTACAATTCGTGTTGAAATTGTGTGTCCTACTCCTACCATAACCAAACATGGTAATTGCTTTACACAGCGCTTAATTGTTTTATTAAGAATTTTCTTCTTCTAACGTACCAATTTACACCTATTAGGGCTATTAATATAAATAAAATATTTATTGTAATCAATTATAAATGGTTTTTATTGATTGTGTTTTCTCTTCTAGTTGTAATTGTATGAAAACATACTTTAAATAGACGCGTATTTAAGCACCAACACGACCAATAAAATTCATGTTTTGCCTTTTTTTTCAAATTGCATTTAATGTTTTCTACCTATCTACTATACTATGGTTTCCATTAGTAAATAACATTAACATGAAAATCAATCTTTTCGACATGAAATATTAGTCATTTTCCTAAGATTGTACAAAATTGGAAATAATTATTCCACAAAAGAATGAGAATGAAACCCATGTTCAATATGTATAAAATGAAGGTTTTGGATTTGGATTTGGATTTTGGATCGGATCGAAAATTGTTCGGATTCAGATGATTTAAGTAGGAAATCTTATTATCTATTTAGATTTTATGACTATTCGATTTGGTTTCAGTTCACAATAACTAACCTTTAGAACGCTTTTTGAAAAGAAAACATAAAAGGTTGCACGATTTTAGATTAAAAATAATTAAATTTTAATAAACCTTGTATTATCTAACAAAAAAATATTGGGAAATCTATAATATTTCAGATATTTTTGTTATTTAATATTTTAACTAAATAATTATAGATATATAATTGTATTTCAGAATTTTGGATATACTGGTTAGTTTTTGGTTCGGTTTACATAATTCGAATCGGAAAAAAAGTATAATCCAATAATTATTGAGTTCAGTTTTCTTGTTCTTTCCAAATGATAGAGTTCAGTTTAGAAACTAATCTTTTGTTTTCAGTTTTGGATTGGTTTAAGAATTGTATGATCAGACCTAAATGTTAATAATACACAATACACTCTATCCCAGATAACAAAAACACGGTCCATGCTTTCATAACCTTATGTATCACATTTGACCAACTTTAATTTATTTTTCAACTACGAAAAACTTCCAACTTTTTATTATTCTACACATATTGAGAGAGAGAGAGTCACAAGAATTACGACACTAAACCAAACCCATTCCCCAGAAAGAGAAAGAAAGATAGAGAGATTATATATATATATATAAAAGATGGGAGACGTACGGAGGATTGTGGTGGTCGTAGAAGACAAAGAAGCGGCGAGGACGGCGTTACAATGGGCACTTCACAACCTCCTCCGCCAAGGTGACGTCATAGTCCTCCTCCACGTCTTCTCTCCTCCTCCCTCCCGTAAGAAGAAATCCACGGCGGCCCGTAACCTCCGCCGCCACGGTTACCATCTCGCACTCTCTTTCCGTGAAATCTGCGACTCTTTCTTCAACGTGAGTCATTAGAAACGAATCTTTTTTGATCGGAGAGTTTTGTTGTTTACTTTCCATTTTCTTGATGAGTTTTAAAAAAGGTTATATAACTTGTGGGTGATCGAGATTTTTTAAACAGACGCATACGGAGATCATCGTGAGGGAAGGAGAAGATGATGGAAGAATGATTGCTCAAGTTGTTAAAGAGATTGGTGCTTCCATGCTTCTCGTTGGTCTCCATCAGCACAGCTTTCTTTACAGGTACTATTTTGATCGATTTGAAACTTCCGGGGTCATTATTTAAAAGATTCTGAACCCCACAGTCCACAGATGGGCAATGAGTGGGATTGACGTAGCAAGATACTTTGATTGCAAAGTGATGGCTATAAAGCAGCCTTCTTCACCGGAACAGTTGACTCCGGCCAAGGTTAAGGGACACAAGACCTCGCCCAGCACAGCTACATCAGACAGTTTAACTAATTTTGACTTTTCACAAGTTGAAATTTCTGGATTACAGTAAGATTTCCTAATACACTCTTCTTTGATTCCTCGATTATAAAACATTTCATACTAACTCTGATAATGGTAATAAAAAGTGAAACTTTGACTTAAACAGGGTTCCTGAGGTTCCGACACCACCTAAAGTGCCGTACAGGTTATGTCCGAGTCCTCATGCTATACTGTGGAGAACGAGACCCCGGAGGAGATCTAAAGACCAATACGGTGTCGTTTCCTAGTTTCGAGATTTTTGTTTTATATAAAAGGAAAAAGCAAAACTTTACTCTCAAATTTATTTGTTTTTGTCAAAGAAACAATTTTTTTTTTTACTCAAATACAAAAAGAATCATTCCAAATTCCAAATCACATTATTCTTGAACAATGAACAACAAATTTCACATGCCATCGTTAGAGATATAAAGAAGAATGATGATAGTTTATGTTAAATACTACTAAGCTTTCCCTCTCCCCCTGTAAACTGTATCTGTAGTTTTGTATGCTAATAAATATTCTAAACACATTACCTTTTATAGCAACAAGTGTTCTCTCCTGTATTCACGTACAATCACTGGTATGCTTGTCGGAGGAATCTATTTTTACACACACACAGATAAAGATGTATCAGACACTACTGCATTGACATAATAAACTTAGAACATAATAATATGTGTGATACTTACCATTCCATAATCCGATACGATCATAGATATATATTCTGAAGGAGTTGAATCATACCTGGAACAACAAAACACGAGATTAAGAGAAACTAAGATAAAGATTTGAGATGACTTTTCAAAACCACTTTAAAAAGCGCTTTACATTAGATTCAGGAACTGAAGGTTTTTGTTGTTGTCCATCGTCTTTAAATGCTTTGCTTTGGTACTAAATGATGGTATGCTGGCTACGGCATCAGGATCGCCTGTAAAGTTTCCGCACATTCAAATCTCTATTCAATATCTGATTTCGAGCAAAGGACTAATCAACAAGAAGTACAAAGAAGGGCGAGTGAAATATTACCAAGTTCATTGGTGCAGATGGAATCAAGTAGTACTCTTTCATGAAACTTGTATGCTTCACAACACACAATTACAGGAACACTAAATGCGTTTGCAACCATTGCTACGCAAGCTGTACCAACTTTCGAGTAAAGAGTTCCATTCGAGAAGATTGATGAAGCCCCAAGAAAAACCCGTGTAGCTTCACGCATAATGTAGGAAATGGCGTTTATATGAGTGTAGGTACAGTCGAGGCCACGTGTCACAAGTCTGCGGAGTAGCTTTTGCCCTTCAAGATTCGGGCGTGAGTCTACAATCACTACACGGAACTTTTTCCCAATCTCATGGGCATATAAGAGAATCATCTCAACCACACAAGAGAATCCGTATGTGAGAAGAACCTCTCCATCTCTGATTTTTGTTACAGCATGTTGTACAATTACCTTGTCTGCAAGAATTATCTTCTCATCTATGAACCGTCCAATGTCCGAACACAGGGAGGCTTTTGCCTCTGGCTCTGACAGGTTTACAGGTAGTTTTCTTATTTGGTTCTTCAGGAACCTGATTGCGTTTCCCATGCTCATGGAGAGTGGACGACATTCTATCAAGAATGAAACATAACCATTAATTTTGGTTGTCAAGTCCATGGTCAGGTCTTTCATAGGAGGTGTAGTGTAATCTTTAATAGCTTCTTGGAATGCTTGGAGCATGGCAATGCATCGCGCATTGTCCCCAGATATATCTCCAGCCAAATGTTGCAAACCAACCTAAGATAAACAATATACATGTGTAATGTCATTTGAAGAAATAAATTCACGGCCACACATCTAAACAAAGAGATGTACCTTATAGACTGCATGGTGTATGGTATCGAGTATGAAAATATTGGAGCTTAAATCGGGAAGCTGATTGCCACGCTCGTATTGAGGAAGATGGAGAAATAATTCAACTTTGTTCTTGCTCTCGGTCTGTTCAACGACTGCACGCTTCTTAGCTTTCTCGACTCGGCTTTTGTCGTCATACTGCATTTGTGTCTGAGGGACATCCATTCTCTTCTCTTTTTCTACTGCTACAGCTGTTTTTACAGAAACAGAGGATGTGGCGGGAAGTCTTTCTTTCTTCGGTTGAGGCTTTTTGGCAGCTTTGCCAGGATTAGCTTTACCAGACTCATCTGCACGCCTGTTTCCTTCGCCTAAAAATTGCAAGAGGGAAGCAATCAGATGATTGTACATTTCACTTTAATGTAAACGGAAAACAAAGCAAACTTATTGTCAAAACAAGAACCTTTTGCAGCAGCTTTTGCTGCCCGTTGTGCCTCTTGGATGGCACGCCTTTCTGCTTTAGTTGTTTTATCTTTCAGCGATTTTGGTTCCTTTTCCTTCTGGGGTTTTGTGGTCACAGATTCACTCTTTCCTGCATGATTTTCTTTCTGTAAGTAATGAAATGCAAAACTACAAGGAAACATCTATCCATGGCAATAATGGAATGACTCAAACCCATAGCAATTCAAAAGGTCAAAATTGATACTAGAGACAAAGATGCATTTCAACTTCTGATTCTAAAGGCGAGTGCAGTTTGGGAATGGAACTTAATGACCCTTCTATGGCTGGGCAGCATCAACAGCTCCGGAAAATTCCATAGCCTCTGACCGTGGAGTGTACTACAGGAGTGTAATGACCATTCTCCGGCCATGCGGTGACCGAAAATTTCGTTTTTGTCAGAAACTGGGGACTGCAATTCAGTTCATAGAAGACGAATTCCCAACCTCGGCGATAATAACATCAACGTGGTAAAGGAGAAAAATTTGATGATGCATTTCCGTCAATGTTAAAGATGCCTAAGCTGACTTTCAAAAAAATAAGGCAGATCATGTTGACAAAGCAAAGAATAGAGTTCTGCTTTCATGATAAAAAAAGGCTTGTTGTCGTCCTGTCTACGAAGCATCCTTTTGCAGAAGTGAGTTAACATGAAGTATACAAAGATTGCTGTATATGAAACTAAGAAACAGAACGCTATTTCAGAGAAATTTAAGTGCCAATGATGACACGTTGTTGAGTGGGAAGCTCAGTCAATTTCACACTTAAACACCTCTGAAACAGCAGCAACTGCATCTACCTCCGATAGAGAGGTAGCTTCCTGGAAGTGCTTGATTCGGGAGTTTTTTGAACCACCTCTGCAAATGGAGACAGACCACAACAGCTGATTCATTTATCATCAATGCGCGACTCTCTGACAGTCCACAACAGCTGATTCATTATCTTCAAAGCACGACTCAGTGTTTCAAATTCGGAGTCCGGCTATTAACAACCAGACTTTGCTTCCAAACAGACTCAACTTTAAATATTCCTCACATATACTTGTGTGGTTATCATCAGAGCTAGAGAATAGTCATCTCTGGCTACTCAAGACAAAGCCGCAGCTATTAACCAGGCCAGAGAATGGTCATCGAACAGGTTACTGACTTCCAAACCAGACACCAAGGAAATAGGAAAAATCAAGCTCCACTTCCAAACCAGACTCTCAGAAGTTCTCCATGAGAGCGAGGCTTAACCAAGTTTCATAGTTTTCCAAACTAATCATGATTCTCGGGGCCTACCCTGGTCCCTACGGCAGCGCTCATTCTTACTTGGGGGATTACAATTCATTATAAAGGTCTCTTTTTTATATAATACCAAACTCATAATTATACAAATAACTAAACGCAATTTATTCAATAGACCCTTAAATTTGATTGAGTGATAAGTATACATACCAGAAACTTCGGCGATCTTCTTTGTCACTTCAGAAGCTGACACGGTCGCAATTTTGGGTTCAGGCTCTTGAGGAGCTCTAACCGCTAAAGTCAAATCGAATCCTCCATTAGGAAAACTCGCCGATAACTTTGCTGAATCGCTCCGTTGAAACCCAAACAGAGAAACCGAATCCTCAGAAAACTCTCCGTTACTCGACGGTGGTGACGTCCCAAGAAGCGAATCAGGAGGATTGTAACTGCCGACGTTAAGACCCCGATCATGGGCTAAGTATCTGCGAAAGGCGGCAGGTCCAGGAACGGGTACAGGAGCAGCAGCAGCAGCAACAGCGCGAGAGGTTAGATTGTCAGAATGGTGACGCGAAGGCGGAATTAAGACCGGAGAAATGAGATTCCCGGAAGGTGAATCAGAGAGAGGAGAAGAAGAGGTTGTTGCCTCTACCGGACCGGATTGGCTTCGATTGGGTCGTTGTGATGAGTCTTGAGTCGGCTCGATTGCTGATGTGAAGAAGCCTACTCGACGGACTTTAGGAACCGCAAGAGCTCCGCGACGAGTATCCATGGAGAGAGAGACCGTTACTCAAGTTTTGGATGACGACGATGATGATGATGAATTTTTTTAGGGTTTTAATTAGGCGGAGGAGAGGTATAAAGGATTAAACCAAAACGGTGGACGACTGATTAAAACCTTATTTATGCAAGTTGAATTTAATTATATTTTTATAACGTGCCAAAAAGTAATTAAATGTAGTTTTGTCATTTATGCTTTTCGTTAATCAAATTTTCATTAATCTTTTATTACATTGGTATAGTTTTCAATATATATTTACACAAAATGAAACGAATGTTTTGACCCATGGACAAATATGCAAGCATACGTTCCATGCTTGTTTGAGTACTAGCAATTAATCCTGAAAACGAATAATTAGAAAATTTGTGATATTTAGGGGGTGTATTCAAAGTAGAATTTTAAAAGATTTGTGTAGAACTTATAAATCCACTGTTATTCAAACATGAATTTTAAAAAGTCTCATGAAATCCACTGTTATTCAACTAATGATTTCAAAATCCACCTTAAAATCCATTGTTATTGAAAACAATTTGTGGATTTGGCTTTTAATGATTTTGAAGGATTTCAGAGGATTTGGGAGGATTTTCTTAGTTAAAAATACAGAAATCAAAATCCCATGGTTTTTGGTGAGATTTGAAAGGATTTTACAAAAGTCATATGAACTTCCCTAAATTCATCAAAATCATTTAAAAACTTATAAAACTCAAATCTCTTAAAATTCCATTTTGAATACACCCCTCTTAGGATTCATTTCGTCTCGATCGAAAAGTTGATTTTATTATTTGTTTCGATTCATAAATTTTCAAGTATTCGAAACTTCGAATATTGTTTGTAATATTCGCAAATTATCCGCTTCACTTCGAGCCATCTATTTTTTTTTTGAAACTAAAAACATATAGTACATAAACATAACGTGCAAAATATGAGATATTAGAGGTTCTTGTTTGACATATTTTCAAAATAAGAAGGAAATGTAACTACCGTCCATAGGATTCTCACATTTTATTTTTAATATTGATTTTCTAACAAAGTTTTTTTTGCTTAAAAACAACATTTAGCAAAAAGCCTATAGGCCACAATATAATAATTTAAATAATAAGTCTATTAGATATAAACTCAAATCTATAAATACACATATTATATATATTATATAATGATTTATATTTATACATATATATAAATATACGAAGCAAAGTAGATATTCAACATTAAAAAAATATATATTAGTTATTTGCTTCGGATTTTACGAATACTACATTTTCATATTTGTTTCGCTTCAATATCTTATCGATATTTGAATTTTTGAATCAAATTGAAACAAATATCGAAGCGAAGCGAATCTAACGAATATTTTGCCCGGGGCTACTAGCAATATACGAGTGTCAATTTCATATATATAATGTATATGTAAATATGGTTATCAAAGTAAAAATATTTTATTTGTTATTTGAAGTGAAATAAATTGATTTGATGGTTACACATAGATAATGAAATAAAATTCATAGTCTATTTTGTAAGATAAATCATTTTTGGATTTTTTTTTTAACTTATGAAACTTAACATTCTTAAATTTTCAATGGAATATATTTGTTAATATATAATAATAGTTTATTAATTAAGATAATATTTTAGATCAATTTAATTTATTCTAATAACTAATTAGTCAAATATGTTAATTATTATTGATAACTAGGTAATGTCCCGCACATATAAAATTCTCGCGCGCAGCGCAGATCAACAACTAGTGTTTATATAAGTTTACACACATTTTTGGATACATTTCATAATTTTAGTGGCTTTTTGATATAATTTAAAAGAAATGGTATTTTAAAGTTTTTTTTGAAAAATGGTATTTTTAAAATCCTCCTGAATTTATTTGTTGATTTATTGTTCAATTTTGATAGCAATTATCTTCATTATTTTTGAGCATTTATAGGTAAAACAATAATAATGTTAATGATAAAAATGGAAATTTACTATGATGTTTAAATGTTTTATTTAAGGTTTTCATATAAACCTAAAGTATTTTGTAATTAAAATCTAAATTATTTTTGAAAGTAATAAATTATATATATTTCCTATAAAATCATATGAAGTGCAATCAAAAGTTCTTAAAACAATTCCCAAAGAATATTGTTTGTACTTAGCATAACATAAATAGTTCAATCGTTATATATTGTACTTAGCATCAAGCCAACAAAATACAAGTAGTAAAATCTAAAACAGTAATCATGAGTGAGTGATGCAGAAATCTGAGAATGTCACTTCAGATGTATTATCAAGAACAAGAATTCAGAACATGGCACAAAACAAATCCATTCAAGATTCAAGTAAATCCAAGAGTTACGAGGTACGATCTATAGAATCTAAGACAATAATCATTAGCTGACAATGCAAAATTCCAAAAATGTGGTTTCACTTGCGTAGAACAGTCACCAAGGGTTTAAAACATATATGTATAATGCAAAACAAATACATTCAAGATTCAATAATGCTATTACCATAATGAGAATTAGTAGGTCATCACATACATTCAAAAGTACTTGTATGCATAAGATCCCAAGATGAATCTATTTCATAAAATGCTACCCAAACAGAGATAAGTATAACAGACACACAATGTAATGTTCCAAAAGCTAAAAGTAAAATTCTAGAATGCCATTCACATGTTTAAAACAATCACCAAAGGTGTGGAGCTGAATACAAAACAAATTCTTTCAAGATTCAAGGAAACTACAATCATAATCTATAGATATTGCTCTTATGTCAAAATAAATATCTACACGAGACTCTAAGCTGTCTCCATTACATAGAGTAAGAATGATAAAAAAAATAGCACTAAGACAGAGAAAGAGAAAAAAACCAAAGGGCCTTATGATCATAAGACAAGAGACGTTATTGTAAACAATCAAGAAAATTCATTGCATATTCTAACTAAATACACCAAATGATTCAATAGAGTTAAATTGCCTATGTTAGATCACTAAAAGACCAATGGATAGGCACTCATGCAATAACAGAAATATTTCAATCACTATCTATTGTATAAAGAGATCAAGCCAAAGAGTAAAAGATTCAATAAGACTATTACCATAACGTGCAAAAGATCCCAAAATACGTAAAGAGAAAGTACACTACCAAGTAAAAGATGATAAGTATTTGAAACAAAGACGTAATGTTCCAATAGAAAGTACACTACCAAAACATATACACTTCCAAGATTCAAAATACGTATCTGCAGAAGATCCCAAAAGACATAAAGAGAAAATACACTACCAAAACTAAGATAATAAGTATTTTAAACAAAGTAATGTTTCAATAGCTAAAGTAAAATTCTAGAATGTCATTCACATGTTTAAAACAATCACCAAAGGTTTAGAGCAAAACACCAAACATAAGAGACTCTAAGATGCCTCCATTATATAGAGTAAGACATGATGACACAAAAGCACCAAAACAGAGACAGTAATGTTCCAATACAACAACACATTGTACTGTTCCAGTACCTAAAATTAACATTGTTTTTAATTAATTTATCACAGAGGAGTCTAGAAAAGCATATATATATATATATATATACCTGATCATAAATTCTGCTACAGTTGTAATATCAACATCTCCTGAAGTACGTACCTGTAAAAATCAAAATAGTCTATACTTGACATATACGTCTCTCACTAGTGATTTTCATAATAGTATCAACTAATTACTTCCAGGTTTGAAAAGCTCATTAAAAAAAACAAAAAGGTTTGAAAAATATATACCTGTCAAAGAAGTTTGCTACTTGAACTCAACTCAAAGTCTTAACAGATCCATATACCTGAAAAGAAAAAAAAGAAAATTTGTTAGTCTTCATTTTACGTGAATGTCATATACTTACCTCGTTCGTTTATGTTATTTGGTCTAAAGTCTAATCATGTTGCATATTCTTTGTCAGCTATCTTTGCCTTACAACTTTTTAAGTCATATGCTGAATTCACAGTTTGGTTTTGAGACTTCTTTACCCTGTTGTGTCGTTTTTAGCATCCAACATATCGCAACTGATCTTCTTTACTTTACTTTGCATCTTTACCCCGTTGTGTCGTTCTTAGCATCCAACATATCGCAACTGATCTTCTTTACTTTACTTTGCATGCACTACCCATCCAAAGTCTTTTACCTTTAAGCTTATGATTTTTCTAAGCCCCTCTTTGAGAACTCTTTGGTTCTATTCCCTCTTTGTCTTAAAGTTCATTCCCTTCCAAAGTTTTTTGACTCATTTGTCTG